ACCCCCCAGCCCCGGGGGCCCAAAGCTCTGGGGAGCCGGGACAGGTCCGTGCTGTGCTGGGGCCAGGCCTCCAAGCCTCCTGCAGCAGAGGACTCCCAGGCGGTGGGGGGCGGGCAGTGCCAGCAGCGTCAGAGCCCTGGGGACCGAGGCCCAAGCCCTCTGGGCTGGCCCGGCCTGCACTCCCTGGTCACTCCTGAAATGCTGGCCTCTGAGGGCGCTGGGGGCCCCGGTGCCAGGGAGGACCCAGCCCTTACTGCCTGCCTCGGTCCCCGGAGGGTCCGCCACAGGAACCCTGAGGGTCCGAGTTCACCTTTATGGTTTAGCAAGTGAGACCTGACCCCAGCCCCTGGGGATGGACCCAGGGTGTGGATGTCCCCAGCTCCCAGCCCCCAGCCCCTTGGAGGCCCCTGACCGTGGGCGCGTGGGAGCCGAGTGCTGGGCCGGGAGCCTTTCCCAGTGCGGGAGGCTATTCTTAACCCGCGGCTGCACCCAGGGCTAAAAATACGCCCGCTGCCTGTGGGAAAGCAGCCCCGGCGATTTCCGCTGCTCAGGGCTCAGGGCTAGGACCCCTGGGTGCCGTCGTCAGGACTGGGACCCCTGGGTGCCATTGGGGCTGGGATCCCTGGGTGCGGTCGGGGCTGGGACCCCTGGGTGCCATCATCAGGACTGGGATCCCTGGGTGCCGTCGGGGCTGGGACCCCTGGCTGCTGTCCCCAGCACTGCTGCAGCCCCTCAACCTGGCTTGGACCCCGTCCCTTCAGGGCTCCGAGGTGTCGCCTGCAGGCTCTGTGGCTGTCCCTAGAGGCGAGAAGAGCTCCATTTGGTTTGGGGACACTGGCTCGAGAGGGGAAGCAAGTCCCTGAGGCCACAGTGGGCCTGAGACGGGAGCCCGGGCCCTCTCCACGGAGGCCTGGTCTAGCTCCCCGCTGGGCGGCCCTCTCCATGGCGGGTCCCAAGCAGCCCCCCTGGACGAAGCCTTCTCTTCTCACTACACCTGGTCCCTGTGAGCCTGTCCCCCCTGTTCAGTGGACGTGGCAGAGTGGTCCCACTGCTGCGTCATGTGCGTGCCGAGTCCAAAGCCCAGGAAGCTGGGGCTCAGCTCCAGGTGGCCGCCGCGAGGCGCTGGGCCAGCTCTCTGTCATCGGCGGCCCCGTGTGGCCGGACACGCCCAAACCGGTGTCTTGCCAGGGCCTCCCGCGGGCCCTCCTCAGGCCCGAATCTCAGGGTCCCTGTCTGCCACTGTCTCGTGGGCTTTGTGCCCTCAGATGGAGGCACTGCTCTTGGGCATCTGAGCCATGGCCCGTGGAAATGGCCTGCCATGGGCCGTCCTGTGGCCAGCAGCTGTTACCGTCCCACAAGGAAGGGCCCTGCCGGGTGAGCTGCTGGTCTTCCCTTGGGGCACTGCCGGCCACCAGGCCCCCACCCCTCACAGCTGCACAGGCCAGCGAAGGGGCCCCGGCCTGACCACAGCACCACGGCTCTTGAGCTCTTGGGCCTCCCCAGCTCAGGACAAAACCCCTCCATGCTGTCCTGCTGCCTGGGGAGCTGTGGGTGTGAAGCCCACCTCGAGGGCTCAGAGGCCCACTGGACGGGCCCTGAGGTGGCCCTGGCAGCTCCCACATGGGCACTGCAGCCCACAGAGCCCACACTTGGAGTGAAGACGTCCCATCGCCTGCTGGCCAGTGACCTCGGGCAGTTGGTTGACTTCTGAGCCTCGATGAGCTCAGGCGTCATCTGGCCCGGGGCCAGTGAGTGCCCATGGCCATCGAGTGCCCGTGCTCAGGGAGCATGTCCAGGACTCGGGGTGCTCGTGGTGTCAGGGAGAGGCGGAAGGGAGCCTCTGCCACCAGGTGCTGGGCTGGGACCTGGCCAGGGAGAGACAGGCAGAGCCGCCCTGCTGGCCGCACGTGGGCCGTGGTCGGCAGCATGTGGACCTTGCTCTGGCCTGGGAGGAGGAGCAGGTGGGACAAGGCCCCTCATGTCTGTGCTTGGCTCCCCGGTGCAGGATGAGGGCCTCCGTCTTGGCCCTCCTAGGCCTCAGGGAGGACGAGGACCAGAGGCCCTGCTGGCTGGCGGGCAGGGTGCTGGGCCGGGCTCCCTGGCTTCCTCAGGGGGAGGCCTCCAGGGGATTGATTCTCTTGGGACTGGATTTTTGCCCCAACTTCACCTGGGCCACGTGGAGCCCTTAGGCCTGCTGGGCATTCCGTGGTGCCCAGCCAGTGGTCAACAGGACCCCGGCACCAGGGCCAGCACCCATGGACACCACGCGGCCCCTTCCAGAGAACAGGCCTGGGCTAGGCCCGCAGCCTCGCGCCCTCACGCTGGCCGCGCCCAGACACCATCTCTGTTCTCAGGGGAGGACAGTGGCTCTCGGCTGGGTGGGGGTGTTAGTGGCCTCCACTCTGCCCTGGCTAGGAGAGGCCCCTCTGAGGCCCCAGGCCTGCACCCCCTTGGGCTCCCTCTTCCCCACAGTCCCACCCCGGCCGGCCCCAGGGGCTCTCTGGTCCCGGCTCCTCCCACCCTCTGCCCTCCTTGTCCTCTCCCTGTCCTCTGCCAGTTCCAAGTCCCACCCAAGCCTTGGGGACTGAGGCTTGGCCTCCTGCGTCCCTGCATGTTTTTGCTTGTGGGACACCCCAAAATACCCGCCGCGGGAGGCCACCACTGCCTCTGCCCCTGGCAAGGGGCTTGAAAAAGCCTGGGCCGGGCCATGGCCCCAGGGGGTCCCGGGATGGAAGCTCCGGGCGCAGAGGCCGTGGCCAGGGTCAGCCCAGCCCCCACCCCCAGCGTGGCCTTGGGGTTAGTCCAGAGGAGGAGGCTGGGCTGCTTGGAGGCCAGGAGGGGACCTCAGGAATGCAGCGGCTCCTTCCTGCCTGCCCGGCTCCCAGCTTAGGGACAGTGGGGACAGTGGGGCGGGGCTGGGGACACAGCAGGGACCAGGGCTGGAGTCAGGAGACGCATGGAGCCCCAGGGCCACCTTCGTCCTGGGGGCTCAGAGCCCTGCGGATGGGCTGGGCCCCAGGTCTGGCAGTGGCCCTTACCTGTCCCCTCGTCCCACCTCGGTCCCGGCAAACCTCTCAGGACAGCTGGGGAAGGGCAGGCGCTGTCTGGGCCCCACCAGAGTCCGCTGGTCTGAGCCCTCAGCGGCTTTGGCTGGTCCCAGGAGGTCCGGCCGAGCACAGCCGCACGGGGCCCAGCAGGAAGACGGACGCCACGGTGCTGCCTGGCGGGAGCCAAGCTGGGAGCCCAGCTCCAGGACCCTCAGCTCACGGTGCCTCGGAGGGTCCTCCCTTGTCCGCAGCATGGCCTGCTCCAGGGCAGGGACCCGAGACAAGGGGCAGGGCCTCCCCTGGCTCTTCTGGTGTCTGGGACCACCATTTGTTGAGGGAATGACGCTCATGTCCAGCATTTCAGTAGGTCACCAGCCCTGGCTGAGGACACTGAGCCTGTCCCATTCTTTCCCACCGGACCCACCTTGACAGAGGGAAGGAGAACGTGGGACCCGGAGGGTCTGGGTCCAATTGCCGGCCACACCACAGTCCACGTGCTTGCGGGAGAGGCCCTTCACCTCTCTGACCCTCTGTTTCCCTTTCTCTGGGCTGACCTGTCACCTGATTGCCTTCAGGTCACACAAGATTCCGAGTGCAAAGAGCCTGTCTCAGAGGACCAGCCCATGCTGGTCCCACACTCGATGGACACCCAGGCTCCGCTCAGGGTGAGGTGTGTTGGGTGGGGTGAGAGGCGAGGTCAGGGCTGGGCGTGGGGAATGCTTTTCTCTTGGACCTTCTGGTCGGCCATAGGAGACACAGCCCGGCACAAAGACGCGTGGATCCACGCCACCCTCTCCACACAGGCGAAGGGCTGCAGGCGATTGTGCAGGAGGCCTTGAGGTCCAGCAAAGCCCAGGGCTGGCCTGGGTGGGGGTCAGGGTGCTCTCTTTCCTTTGCAGAAATCCCTGGTTTTTCTGTTGCCTGAGACAGCGCCCCACCCCCGGCCTCATTCCAGGGTGAGGAGCGAAATGTCTCTAGTAAATGCCCCTGGGAGGCAGGGGCCGTCCCCCCAGCCAAGGACAACCTGTGGGACGCCAGTCACGTGGTTCTTTGATTGCTTTGCTGGCAGGTTCATTCCGTCACCCACGGACCACTCAGCAGGTCCGTCCAGAGAGCAGGACGTTTGGGACGAGGACAGAGGCAGTGGTGGGCTTCGGGGCTCGGGGAGGGAGCAGCTTCCGTGGCAGACCGGAAATCTGACCCTTGGGGGCCAGGGAGTCCTGCTCTGGAGGCCAGGCCCCGGGGTGCCTGACCTTGCTGTCCACCTGGACGGCTGCAAAGCACAGATCTTGGGGTGTCAGGCAGAGCTCCAAGAGGAATGTGTTCCCTGGAGCCAAAAAGGGGCTTGCCACCACAGGGGTACCTGTGGCCTTGCGTCTGAGAGGCTGAGGCTCAGAGAGGGTGCTGTGGCTGTGGGGTCTGCCCAGGGAGAGGACCGTCTCTGGAGCCCCAGCCTGCCCCCGGGGGGCCGGGGCTCTGCTGCCCCACACAAAGGCTCCTCTTTGAAGCGCCTCAGACTGAGCCCCGGTTTCCGGCCCGGCCCACCGGGAGGCCCCGCCGCAGCAGCTGTCTCTGTTGGCCGCCCCGCCAGCCGGGCCGCCCAGCCTCGGTTCACGGTCAGCTTCCTTGCCAGAAATGTGCTCCAGCAGCTGCCGCCAACACAGGACAGTCCCAGAGCCTCACGCCTGGCCGTCTCCCTAATAGAGTGGGGTGCGGAGGGGCTGCTCACCCCGCAGCCCCCGCCAGGCAGAAGCCCCCTCTGACCCAGGGCCTGACGGCAGAGGAGTCCACAGGCGCTGAGGTCCAAAGCCACAGGCCAGTCCCAAGGCCACTCTGCCTTCAGCCTTCCCAGTTGCTCCTGAAGACGGAGAACCTGAGACCCTTATTGAGACACACTGACCAAGCCCTGGCCCTGTTCCAATTCCTGACAAATGTTCCCCATTTTGTCCTTACTAAAACCTATGGGGTAGGGACTGTCATTGTCCCATTTTATACAGCAGGAAAATGAGGCACAGAGGGGGCAAGGAATGGGCCTAGAGACACACAGCTAATGGGCAGAGAAGCTGGGTTCCACCCCTGGCTGGGGTTCCAGTGTTTTCATCCCGAACCCAGAGAAGCTCGGGGAGGGGCCCATGGCAGACGGCCCAGAGCCCGACACGTGAAGGAAGGGGCTGAAAAGTACAGCCAAGACCGCGGCTCTTCTCCCCCAGGCGCCCGAGGCCCAGCAGTGTTGGCGCGGCTCCTGGGGGTGGCGCATCTCAGAGCTCCTCCTGTAAGGTCCCGGCAGGCTCCGAGGTGCTCCAGAGTCAGGGGCGCGGTCCCCCATTCCATCCCCATGTGGCAGTTTGGAGGTGGGGTCTTATTGGAGGTGGGGTCTTCACATACGTACAAGTTAAAGCAGGTCCCCCCGGGGCTCCAAACCAGCTGGACGGGTCCTTACAGGGAGAGGGGGTCGGGACACAGGCCACAGAGGACTGTGTGAGGACCTCGACCTTTGACCCCCAGGACGGGGACAATGATCCTTGGGTTTTAGGCCGCGGCCGGTGGCACTTGCCATGGCAGCTCAGGCCGGCGAGGCAGGCTCTTCTCAGGAGCACGCAGGCCGGAGGGGACTCCAGAGGCCCCTGTGCTGTCCCGAGACAAGCAGGACACATCCCAGGTTGGTTCTGAGGGTGACTTGGCTGATCTTGCTCCTGCTGCTCTGCAGGACGTGGCCGCCCTGTGGGTGGACAGCGGCTTGCGCACAATGACACGTATCTTGCGGCAGATGCCCTTGGTCCGGGCAGGGGGACTGCCGGCTTCCCATGCACGTCTGTGTTCAGGCACTGCCTGGGTGGCTCTGCTGGGACCCAAACCTCCCCTTGCCTTCTTCTAACCCATCCACCTGCCGTCCACCCACCATCCATTCTCCACCCGTCCACCCACCGACCCGTCCATCTATCCATTCATCCATCCATCCAACCATCCACCCATTCACCTATCTATCTACCCATCCACCCATCCATCTACCCACTCACCCATCCATCCACACATCCATCTACCCACCCCTCCACCCACACATCCATCTACCCACCCCTCCACCCACACATCCATCTACCCACCCCTCCACCCACTCATCCACCCATCCACCCACTCATCCATCCAACCACCCAACCCACCCGGATGGGATGGGCTCTGGGCTCTGGACAGGCCCTGGGCTCTGCTGGCGAAGGTGCCATGTGTGTGCTTGGAGGGGCGGCATGGCCTTCGCCCCTGAGCCCAGCACGCAGAGGGTGCCTGGCCCACAGCCCACGGTGCTAGTGGGCGTTGGACAGCCCTGCTGCTACCTGGGCTCCCTCCTCAAGGGGCCTCGTGGGTGGCTTGGGCCACTCGGACATCTCCAGGCCTCCTCTATGGAAGGGGGTTGGGACAGCTGGATTTCCACCAGAGGGACTGCTCCGCCCCAGCTCAACGCATAGCTGGAGGCCACCACAGTGGTGACCTAGCACAGGACCAGGCCTCCTGGTGGGGAGGAGGAATCCCATCAGGCTGCAGGTGGCCCGCCCTGCCGAGGGCTTCACGGGGAAGCAGGCTGGGGGGGAAGACTGAGCCCCCGTCAGTCCTGCGGGTGGGAGTGTCCTGCAGGGAGCTCAGAGGACTGCTCCCGGGATTCAGATGCAGAGGGCAAGGAGCAGAGGGGGCTCTGCCAAGGGAGGAGCAGGTGGGCGCCCACAGGAGTCCTGAGTGCCCACGAGGACCTCACGGCACCCGGGGGCTGAGCGCCTCTCCAGGCCAGTGTGGCTCCCGGGAAGTCACCAGGGTCCCAGGACCTGCCTTCTCAGGGTTGGGCTGAAGAGGGAGGGTGCTCTCAGGGGGAGCTGATGGGTGGTCCCTGTGCAGGCCCAGGCAGGCCGTGCCACCTCCCCTGCCGTCCCCTCCCCTGCTTGTCCCTCCCAGAGGCTGCGGACAGAGGCAGCCAGGCCACCAGCACAGTGGCCCTTCTCTTGCATGTGAGCTCAGGAGGGTACTTTCAGCCACAGGAGGCCCTCACCCCACGGCCTCTCTGGTCGGGAGGGGACACTGAGTTGGGTAACACGTGGACAGCATTGACCCTCTAGGTGTAGGGTGTGAGGCCAGGGAGGAGGGTCAGCGGAGGCTCTGCTGAAGCCCAGAAGGCCACACCTGAGAGTGACTCAGAGCCAGAGAGGCGGCACGGGGTCTCCTGGCCAGGGGTCTGAGGACGCTTCCTGGGGAGGGGGCTCTGAGCAGGCTGTGGGCCAGGAGGTGTGCACCCCACGTGGGCAGGAAGGGATGGCCGGTGGGGCCCAGCAGAAAGCCGGATACCTGGCAGAGGGATGGGGCCCTGGGCAGAGGTCTGGCCTCAGGGCGTCGGGAGCTGGGAGGAGAGGCGTCGGGGCCACCCTGGGCACAGAAGTGGCACCCTCACCCTCAACTTCCAGGTCACCCACAGTACCTTCTTTTGTCACCAGTGTTGTGACCAGGCCTCTTCTGGACAGAAATGGGCACGCTGTCGCCAGCCCTTCAGAAGCCGTGGAAGAGTGACGGGTCCCCAGCCACCCCCCGCCCCCGCCGCCTCCTCCCGCTCCCGTTGGCTACTTTATAATACGTTGTGTCACTGTTCTTTCATAAGATTGTCATCTGGTGCTTTAAAAAATATGCTAAAGTGTATCCACCTGGAGAAGGAAGCGGGGTGGGTGCCTGGGGGTCCAGGAGGCTCCCTAGGCTCAGAGCTGGGCATGGGGGTGGGCTGGGGTGCAGCCGGTGGGGACCCAGCCTCCACTCCTTGGCGGGGCTGAGCCTCCTCCCCGAGAAGCCCTGGCTTGTGGGCCAGAAGTGGGGGAGGCCCACGCTGTCTGGCGCTGTCCACCTGTCCTGGGCTCACGCAGTATGCTCAGGCCATCTTGCTCTCTGCCGTAGTTGGGGTCTCCCGTGGCTAGGGCCTGGAGTGAACAGAGGAGGGCATGGACCGGCTCTCAGCTGCCCAGACGCGCTGAGCGCCCCCCTGAGCCTGGGTTCCCCGCACTGTGAGGGGTGGGTGTGCCACACTGCCCGGTTGGGGGCGGTGGGGTCACCGTGGGTCTCAGGGGCTTCAGAAGCCACAGGTGGAGCCCCCTGCATGAGCCACAGTTCTCGCTCGACCCCCACAGCCGCCCAGAGGAGGTTCTCATCTTTCCAGAATGTTCTGCAGGTGAGCTGGGAGCCCTCAGGCCCCGGCTGGCCCCTGTGCCCATCTGCGCCTGAACCGGGACTGGTCCGTCCTCTTCCTCATCCGCCCGACGGCCTGGCCCCGGGGGAGCCCGGGACCCTCGGGCATGCCGATGCGGCTGGGGCTTCCTCAAGACACACTCCAGTGGCCTAATTTGAGGAAACAATGGGCCCCATCCATATTAATGCCCTTCGAGTGACCCCTCGGGCGCCTGTGCGGTGCAGGCTGTAATCAGCAGGGCTCCGGGGGCTCTGGCCTAATTTGGAGGGACAGGTCTTATCATCACTCTTGATTCCAGTGACCCAACCTGACAGGCCGGGCCGCCTGCAGGGCGCGTCCACGTCACAGGCGGCCTCTTCCCAGCGGCCCACCCCGGCGCTCCAGGAGGCGGTGGCCGCGGGGCGAGGAGGGGCAGCACCAGGCCCCGCGCTGGGGGAGGCCGCCGGGCGCGGGGAGGGCAGGGTATTGGTCAGCTCGGAGCATCAGGCCCTCCCTGGACACACGCTCTCGACCACCCACCAGCAAGCGTCTGCTGCCTGCCGCCCTCCCGCTGCACCAGGGGCTGGGTGGCGACTCGGGCACAGGCTGGCCCGGGGAGGGGCCCTGCCGGAGCTGGGGGATGGTCGGGGCCACCTCTCTGCCACCAGCCGCCCAGGGAAGAGGGGTGGGAGCGCTCGGCTGGCTCTCGCCCGGGGCCCGGGGAGCTGCTTGGGCCGGGCATCGTGCTTACACCTGGGTGCGTGGCACTCCTCAGGCCGGCCCCTACCTCGGCATAGGACAAGGTCCCCATGTTCCAGGTCAGAAGCCATCCAAGGCAGGCTGAAGAGACACAGCCGGGGGCCGCTCCTGAGCTCCAGCCCTGTCCCCACCCCGTGCCCCGGAGGCCCCACGCGCCGGGGCTCGTGTCCCTGGGGTGGAGCTCAGGTGTGGGCCTGGGCCTACGAGCTGGCGGGGGCCTGCAGGCTCCTGTCCCCAGGTCCATTCTCTGAAGCCTTAGCCCCAGGTGACCGTGTGTGGATGTGGGCCTCTGAGGTGCCCAGGTCAGGAGAGCGGGGCCCTTGAAAGGAGAGACCAGGCAGCTGGGGCTCCTCCACAGGGTGGGGGACTGGGCGGGCAGCCTTCTGGCCCACGGGAACTGCCAGCACCTTGGCCGTGGCCCTCTGTTCTGACTGAGCAGCCTGAACCCAGGAGGAACACAGAAGCAGTGTGCGTGGGGTCACAGGGCTCCCCGGGCTGCCCCATTCCTGCTCCGCCTCCTGCCCAGCAGGCCGCCAGGGCACCTTCTCACAGAGTTGGCAGAGCCTCCAACCTCTGCTCCGTCACTTCTGCCTCATCCCATGGCCACACTTTGTCCCGAGGGGGAGAGCTGCTATGTCCCCGGGTGGAAGGTGTGCATGGACCGGAAGCCACGGGCATCTCCAGTCTCCCATCGCTTTCAGGACCACCTCCGGCTCCTCTGTCCTGCCCCACCCTCCTCCCGCCTCCCAACCCGCTGCCCGCGCAGGCACCCCCGGCTTCAGGCCTGGCCCCCCAGGCAGAGACCCCTCCCCAGCACTGTCCCCTGCCCCTCCAGCCAGACTCCGTCCCCTCCCTGCCCCAGGGCACCTCATCACGGGGCCTCCCTGGATCCCACGTCTCCACGGGGCTCCCTCTGTCCCTGGGACCCTGCTCACCTCTCCTCTACCCACCTTTGGACCCGCCTGCCCACGTCTCTATGACGCGGTAGTTCTGACAGTCCGCGGCCACGTCCAGTTTACCTTCCCACCCCAGGGCCTGTAGAGATTCTCATGCAACAGGTGTCCCCAGATGTCCCCCCATTCAAGGAATAAACAGGTGGAAATGAGCGGCAGGTCCTGTTCTGAAGTGTCCCCGGGGGCAAGGCTGTCCTTGCAAATACGGCTGATCTGTCAGCCCAGCCCGAGGCCTGGCCAGCTTCCTGGCCCTGGGCCTGCCTGGTGGGTGGAGACCTGAGGGAACCAAGCCTGGTCCCCGTCCCAAAGACGTCCCTGGAGATGAGGCTGTGCCATACCAAATGAGAAAGCCTACGTTATTCACGTGACTTGATTCAGTTCATTTCAATTCGATTCAATTTGATTCAGTTCAACTCAACTGTCTCAGTTCAACTGAGCAAGTGCTTTCTGAGTAGCTCGGGGGCTGGCCTGCGCCACTCGGGGGCTGGCCTGGGCCAGTCTGCGTTGGGGGACACAGAGGAGGAGTACCTCTCACATCCCTTTTGGGCTCTGCCCATCCAATGGGGCCAGAAGGCCACAGGACAGGGGTGGGCTGCGCCCGGGGGCAGGTGGCCAGGGCTGGTCCTGGCCTCATTTTCCCGGAGGCAGCCCCTCACCCCTGGGGCTGCCCTGGTCAGACCCAGAGGGACTGTGTGCTCCTCGTCTGTCTCCCGACCCGCCTCTGCCCTTGGCCCTGAAGGCAGAGCCTGGCTGTCCTCTGGGTCTCCCTGGCACAAATCTCAAGGACTGAGGGAACGAGGGCGGGATCCCACCTGCCTGGGGGGCTTGGGCGCCAGACCCGCTGCCTCCGCCCTGCAGGCTGGGGAGGTCAGGAGGGCCTGGGGTGTCGGCACTGACGCGTCCCAGTGGGGACAGGACAGAGAGGGGAGATGGCCACTGAGCTCAGCCCTTTGTCACCTGGTGTGTAGCTGGCATCAACTGCTGTGTAACAAACGCAGGCTAGTGTGACGCCGGCTCTGCGGCTGGGCAGGGGAGGCTGGGCCCCGTCTGGCGGGTCTCTGGCCAGGGCTGGACTTGCTTGTGTGCCCACCATCCGTTTTGCTGGTCCCGCTGGTCTCTCCCATCACGGGGCTGACTGCTGGGCCCATCTGCTCCCCTCCAGCCTGCGGGCCTCCAGCTGCCTGTCAGGGCGGAGCCCGAGGCAGGAGAGACCACGGGCAGCACCGAGGGCGGACACAGCCCTCTGGAGCCCCTCTGTGCTGCAGGCCCCATGGCGGAGGTGCTGGAGGTGGGAGCTTGCTCTCCATGCCCAGGAACGGAGCTGGGGAGGCCCCTCGGTACCTCCGCCACAGCCCTGCTCTCCCGGCCAGCACGTGGCCTCAGGTCCTCTTCTTGCTGACAGCTGGCTGTGCCCAGGCCACATGGGCAGGGCAGGGCTGCCCCAGGACCATGGCGGGCTCCCAGGAGTCCTCTGGTTTCCCTGCCAGCTCCTGGAGGCGGGGCTCCCTGCCCCGTGATCCTCCCGCCATTAGGAAGAGCCGGCCCCAGCCCTGCCCAGCCTGTGCCCTGAGGGCCAGGTGGTGAGGTGGCTGCCTGTCGCTGGCCGACTCTCATCCCGGGCTGGAGGGGCCTGAGGAAGCGCAGGGGAGACTCCCTCACGGCCTGCTCGTCCACTCAGCGAGGACAATGAGGGAGACCCCGCGGGGACAGGGCGCTGGCCTGGTGCTCAGCTGAGGGTTTTTTGAGGAAAGTGTTAACAGGTCACAACAGGACAGTTTGCTGTGGCAGAGGGCGTCAGGGTGGCCAGCACCGGGGCCTCGAGGGTCCCTGGGAGGAGTGGGGTCCAGGGCCCCTTCTTCCCTGTCTTCGGGGCAAAGCAGAGGTTCACTATGAATCTCCAGGAGCTGTGCCCACTCTGCAGACCAGGACACCAAGGTCCCACGCCTGGCTCTTGGCCAGGCCCCACTGGAACCTCGGTGGCAGGTGAGGGCGGTGCCTGGCGTGGGCCGACCTGGCCAGGGTGGCTGGAGCCTGGTGGGGAAAGGCAGGAGGGAGGAGAGTGACCATAGCTGGGCTCGACCTGGAGACTCACCCCCTGGGACGGGGACAGGTTCATGACCGTGTCTCTGTGGTGGTGGCAGAGAAGTCACAGCGGATCCGGAGGAGGCCAGGCCCAGGCTGTGGGTGGTTTCCGAAGGCTGTGGCTGTGCCCCGGGCGGCCCCACCAGGGCCACCTCTCTTGGCCTCTCTGGTCCGTGGGTGGGGACTGGTGACAGGAGGACCGGCACACTAGTCCTACGTGAGGAGCGAGGTCCAGGGAGGTCCGGGGACTGCCTGCTGGTGGGGGCCATGGTGAGCCCTTCACCAACCCTGGGCCACCTGCGAGCTCAGGAGTGCGCCCACAGTGCCCAGCAGGACCGCCACTGCCCGCCTGCCCCTGCCCTCCCCCTTCCCTCCACCCAAGTCAAAAAGAGCATTTTTCTGGAGATGATGACAGGGCCACCCTGGCTTCTGCTTGGGTTGTCACCATCTTCGCGAACAACCGTGTGCCACCTCTCTCTATTGCCTTCTGATTTGTGTGTTTCGGGGGCCACGTGGCCGGGCGTCCCCTCTGTGGTGCCGGGGGCTGGTCACCCACTCGGTTTCTTAGCTGGCTACGCGCTCCCTGCTTCAAGATGGCAGGATTCCCCTTGGCCACCATGTGGTCACTGTGGAGTGGGATGTGGAGACCCTGCGTATGTCCACCCTCCACGGCCCCCAGGGGCCTGCGGGACCCTCCAGGCCCTCCAGTCTCGGCTGCTCCTGGAGATCCCGGCCGAGCCCCGCAACATGGAGAGTCTACAGGAACCGGGCTTGGGGTGGACACCGCCAGGCGGGGCTGCTCCTGCTGCCCGACCCCGGCCTGGGCACCTGCAGCCATTCGCTGCCCGGGGCTTGCTTTGTCTTTCGGTCCCTCGTTGTTTTCTGCCGTTTGTGGAAATTCTTCTGTTCATTTTTGCTTAGCTGCTCTGTGGGAAGTACTGACCCTTCCAATGACCGAGGATCCTGCCACCAGCTGAAGATCTCCTAGCAGTGACTGGGCCTGGCATCAGCTCCGTCAGGGGCTGGCGTGCACCCCGTTCCCCCCTCCAGTAGCCGGACTGCGCCTGCGAGCTCGGTCCGGAGAGTTCTTCAGGAAATGATAAAAACCAAACCAGAACCTGGGCCCGGTGCAGATTGGAGCAGGTTCCTCCCAACGCACCCCCAGACAGCCGCAGCAACCAGCCCCTGAACAGCCCCCGGCTCAGCGCTGGGGGCCCAGTTCCTCAGCCCTGTGGCCACGGAAGCCCTCTCAGGACCCCTCTCGGGACCGCCCGTCCGCACACCGTGGAGCAAGGGCTACACGGACCAAGAACGTCGGGGGGTTCATCTGAGGAGTCAGAGGAGGAGTCCATTTGGTGACCCTCCACTCCAAGGCCGGTGACTTTCCTTGTGCCTGTGGCTTGCTGGGAACCCTCCGTCCCTGCCATCACCTGGGACCTGGGCTTCTCCAGGGGCCACCTGGATGTCCTGGTGCCAGAGACTGGCCAGCCTGCAGGCCCCTGACCTTGGGATCCCCAGCTCGGCAGCACCTGAGAAGCACCTGGGGGCTCAGGAGTCCTCGTGCCTGCACCACACTGGTCAGATTCCATCAGACAGGGGGGAGCCCCAACCAGGTGGCTTCAGAATGCTCCGTGTCACCTGATCCCCTCTGCAAGGGGACAGGCCCTTGCAGAATCTCCCGGGTGCAGGAGTCCCAAGGTCTAGAGTCCAACACCCCTGGCCCAGTGAGAGACTGCTTCAGCTCCTTCAAACCCGCCACCAGGCTGCTGCTGGCCCCTCCGTGTGACTTACTTCTGGGGGCCCAAGCCATACTCTTGGCCCCGTGGATGCTGAGACAAGGTAGACCAGAAGTACGTCTGCGTCTAGGCAGGGCCTTGTCTGGCTGCCACACACGAAGTCACTGAGACCTGGAGCAGACACTCCTCTCCTCTCCTAGAGGTGGCTGTGACCTGAGTCTCGTGGCAGATGTTCATTTGATCCTGTGCTCCTTGTAAACTGAATGGCAGGGTGCATTTTCCCTTTTCTCATTGGCTGCCAGGGAACTCAGAGTCAAGTTTGCCATCCCATCCGATGGCATGTGCGGTACCTGATGGTGTGTTGTGCTCTTCCTCGTCTCATGTTTTCCTCACTGACTAAAATCATGTTGCATTTTGTGCATTTTTGTAAGCCACCTCAAATGCTCTTTTTGTGACAAAACAGGGGCACAATGTCCCAAAGTGGCTTTTGCGGCCACTTCTCTGCCCTCCCCGCCCCAGCTCGGAGCATGGCTGGGGCTGTTCTCTCCGCAGCCCTCCACTCGGGGTGGGCATCAGCCTCGGGGACCTTACCTGTGCACTCACGGCCAGGTGTGGATGTTTGGAGTCAGCAGACGGTGGCTGCTCCATGGAGTGAGGTCCCAGGGGCAGCAGCCTGTGCCCATGTCTCTCCCCATGCCCAGGTGGGGCACCAGGAGCCAGGCCTGACCCCACGGGCACAAGAGCTGCCTGCAAAGTGCCTGAGGAGTCTCTGCAAGGATGTGGCCCTGAGTTCTGCTCTGTCCTGTGTGGGGGCCCGGGGATAGCCTGGGCACCGGGGGGTGTCCATTGTGCCACCCTTAGGGCATCTTTGGCCTAATGGTTACGAGTCAACCTGGTTCCCATCTGGGCCCAGCAGTTAGGAGCTGTGTGACTCTGAGCAACTTCCTTACCTTCTCTGTGCCTTCCTTTGCTCATAAGCTAAAGGGGTAAGAAGGGCCCTCCCCTGCGGGAAGGGACAAGAAAGGCCTCATCAAGCCCAGAGGAGCTGCTTTGCCGGCAGTGAGCGCCCAGCAGGGCCGAGGCTCTGTTATCTGAGGAGGCCACTGGGGAGAAGCCCTTCTGCCCCGAGGGGTCCCGGGGGTCTCTGTCCCCTGAAGTAGGGACAGCCCTGGGGCTGGGCTGAGCAGACGCGGGCACTGGATCCAGGTGCCCCTGACTCTCACTGGGCGAGGGTCACCTGCCTGAGGGGCCGTACTGGGCTGGCCTCCAGGCGGCCAGTGGGAGTGGACGGGGACCCCGAGGCTGGCCCACCTCTGCCCGGCAGCTGGCCTGACTGATGGCCTGGGGCCGGGGCTTCTGTGAGGATTTCTGACCCCCAGGCTTCCTCCCATCCTCACCCCGAGGCCGTGGGCTCCCGGGGTCCCCTGGCCGGGCCTGCACACGGGGAGCCTTGGCTGGCCGCCCGGAGCCCAGCAGCCGAGGGGACCCCTTCCCTGGCCGGCGGGAGAAGGCTGGCTGGGCCCCAGCTGTGGGCGGCCGTGGGGACGGCCGAGGGGCGGTCGCCCTGGAGACCCGGGCTGGTGTCCTCCTCAACAGATCCAGGATTGCGGTCTCTCTGTCGGATGCCCAGCGGAGCAGGCCGGGATGGTGGCCGCGAGGGCCGGGGCTTGCAGCAGCGCGGACGGCGCCCCTCCTCGGCCCTGGGCCCTGCCTGGGCCTCTCCTCAGGGAAATGGTCCAAGGACACTGGGATGCCATGGGGGAGACAGGAAGGGTGTGTTTGGAAAAAATGTGCTGAGGTCATCACGTTTGCTTCCAAAGGAGCTTCTGTGGGGGAGCCCGGGCCAGCGCGCTCCTCCCAGGAGCCGGGAGGCTCCGCCGGCCACCGCGGCACCCGCTCCAGCCGGGCCCTGGTGCCAGCGAGTCCCGCGGAGCCCTCGGCCCACGCGCAGGGCCGGGCCGCGGCTCCCTTGTTAGTCCATCCGCCTCTGACGGCCGAGAGCCCGCGGCTTCCCGGGACCCCCAGAGCCTCCCAGTCCCTTGCCCAGGAGAGAAGACTGGGCAAGGAGGCCCTGAAGGCCAGAGGAGCTGCCACTCTGGAGGGGCACCAATGTCCCACGGGGGCAGGAGTCTGGGGACAGGGGAATTTCGCAGTGTCCCCAGATCCAAGATGTGCAGCTGTTTTCCTTTTAAGAAAGTAACTTGATCCAGGCGCCTGAGACCTGGGTGCTGGCTCCGTGGGTGGCGAGCGGGGCCGGGGAGCTGGGTGACTCCCGAGGGCAGGGCCCAGGCGGCGGGGAGACGATCAGCCGGTGTGACCAGGGAGGGCCCCAGCTGGCCCTGGCCAGATGCCCCGTCCCCACACCCTGGCCGGGTGGGTGGCTGACAGTACGGGTAGCGGAGGGCTCATGAGCTGTGACATCTTCCTGAAAGCCCTCCAGCGGGGAGGGAGGGACGCTCTTCCACGGCACGGAAGCCACTCTGCACATTCTAGAATGTGCGAGAAGACGCCCTCACTCCAGGCGCCACCCCTCAGACACCAATTGACGGAGGGCCGCTCCCTGCAGTCCAGACTCTCCCTAGATCGTCCCCAGCCAGGGGCAGGCGGCCGGCATCCAGGGGCCAGGCTTGGTCACGAGAGGAACCTCATGCCCTCCGACACCGGATCCGCTGCCAGGTGCCCTGACTTCGTGCAGGCAGAGGGCACCCGGCTCTGGAGTGTGTGGAGCTGGCACCGGCAGTGGCCTTGCCGTCCGGTCCATGTGCCCTGTCCTTCCCTGGGCTGTGTGTCCCTCTGCTCTCTCAGTGGCCAGACTTACAGGGAGGCAGTGTGCAGCGGCCATTCCCAACAGCCACAGCGCCTCAAGGCCACTGAGGCACCCTGTGTGCTCTGCTCTGCGGGTTTGGCTCTCAGACCATTCCCCGGGGTAAGCCAGCTCTGCAGGAGGACCTCGAGTGACAAGGACACAGAGGACACTGAAACAAGGAAAGGGAGGTGAGAGGACCGGAGCAAGAACAGGCAACACAGAGACGGGAGCCAGGCTGGACTCTAGGTCGAAGGGAGCAAGGCCTGTCTGCTGCCCAAGGACAGGGCTCTACAGAGAGTAGCCGCCCAGGGCCCGGCACCACCCAGGAAGGGCCCGACTGGGCTCCGTCCTACGTTGCAGCCTCCAGTGGGTGTGAGGGAGAGGACAGTGAGGTTTGTTCCCCCAAACACCCGCTCCCTTCCAGCCGCCTGCGGGGACCGAGCCGCGGGGTCTGGGCTGCCCTGGGCGGGCGCAGGCTCCTCCCACCGCGGCCGGGCTCTTTTCCCTGAGCACCTTTGCATCTTCCAGCTCAGAGACGAGGCTCGGGGTGCGTGTGCCTCTGGAATCTGTCGCAAACCTAACGTCCCAGCTACTCCAGGTGCACTCAGAGGACCCCAGCTCCGGCTCAGCACCATTTGGAATGTTCACAGGTTTTGTGGCTTGGGCATTGGGACAGGGAGCAGCAGGGATGGCCTGTCACGTGTCTGCCATTTGGTGCAGGTTTGGCCGAACCTGGGCTGGGGCTGCTGGCCAACACCTGGGTGTGGCCTCCTCATGGAGCTGGGGCTTCCTCCCAACATGGCTGCAAAGTTCAAAAGTGAGAATGGAGGGGCGAGGGGGCAGGGACCCAGAGGGAGCCACACTGTAATGACCTCGCCTTCAAAGTCACCCAGCTCCACCTCCACCCCAGGTTCACTCCACGGTGCTCTCTGGACACGTGCTCCCCACGGGCAAGCGGGCTCTCCTCCGTCTCCGCTGTTCCCCGTCGCCGACTCCCGTCCAGTCGTGTGGGCAGGATCGAAGCCAGGATCCCACCCTGCAAGGGGCCGACACCCTCCAGACGGGGCTTCTCGCTCGTAACTCCTGCAAGCCCCAGGACAGGGTCCCCTCAACTGTGAGCCGCCCCCCAGTACAGTGGGCAGCAGAGGGGCTCCTAGCCAGGTAGGAGCAGCCCCCTCTCTCCAGGAGAGGGTCTCCCCGACCTTGGCCATCCTGGCCTGGCCCTGGAACCAGCCCTCCGATTTAGTGGAAAGGACGGGCCAGGCCCATGACGCTCTTTAGAGAGGTGTGGGTCACGGGCACACGGTGCTCAGCTCTGTCTCCTCAATCTGAATTTGACCTTGTGCTGAAGCCCTGGCCTAACCTGGGCCCCCCCAGGAATCTGGGAGGGGAAGCCTGTGCTCTCATACCCAGGGTCTCGGCTCCTTGTCAGTGAGGGTCATTCTCACCCGTGTGGGGGTCAGACGCTGCAGAGCGAGCCTCCCCTGGCCTCGACTGGGACCTGGGCAGGACTGGAATCCACCCAGCGATTCTGAAAGAAGGCAGGAGCAGGAGAGGGGAGGGAGCCGGGCCTCTTTGTGTCCCGTTGGGCCTTAGGGTGGGCCGAGGACTTGGGGCAAGAACCAGGGAGGAGAGCCCAGCAGCCATGGCTGCCCCTGGAGAGTGAAGGAAAGACCCAGGGCTTGGAAGAAGGGGTCTCCTAACTCCACACCCCCACACTGGTCCCAGGCTGACCCTGAACCTCACATGCAGGTGAGGACTCAGAACAGCAGAAGAACAGCTGCAAAAACTGAGCGAGATCTCACCATCACACACGGAGGTCAAGGCGGAGCCCACGGCTGAGTCCAACCAGGTGGACGGCCAGCTAAGACAAACACGAAGCAGCCGTCAGGGAATACAACGCCACCCAGACTCAGCTCTGCATCTCAGTCCCAACGTCCAGGTAGAAGTCTTTAGCATCACTTGGCGTACAAAGGGCCAAGAAAATGTGACCACTAACAATAAAGAAATGTTAAGCCAAGTGATTCATCCTGGTTTAGCTCTGAGGTGTCCCCCAAGAGCTCATGTGTGAGACATGGCAGGACATTCAGAGGTGAAATGTCCCGGGGATCGTGAGAGCCTGGACCTCCTCAGTGAGGAGTGGACTTGAGTGGATTAACCGGGGGGTGACTATGAGCAGACAGAGTGTGGCCGGGGGACACAAAGGACTGGGGACAGTCCTTTGGGGTATATGTTTTGTCCCTTCTGAGCTGAGCTCTCTCCACTTATTTGTTACCATGAACGGCTTCCTCCACGCCCCTCTCCAGGGGCCCGGCCCCACCTCAGGCCAGAACAGTGGACTGAGACCTCTGAACCTGGGAGCCACAAACGAACGTTCCCTCCTTCACCTCATTCTTGTACGGTCTTTTGGTCACAGTGACGAAAAAAGCTCGTGTGTTGGAATCATCAGACAAGGGCTTTAAAAGGACTATTATAATCATGCTTAGTGCAGTAATGAAGATACACCAAAAATGAAAGAAAAACTATAAATTGCCAAAGAGAAGAAATGTAAAGATGACCCAAGAAGGAAATATTTAAACCGAGGCACATTAAGAAGATAGGAAGGGGGAGATGGAAGAATGAAAAACGGAGAGGACAGGTAAGGGTTGGTAGGTCTAAATCCCACCAGACCGACAATTACACTAAATATTAATGGTATAAATATTTTAATTAAAAGGTATGAGATACCTGAATAAAAATGTAAGGCTCAACTATATGCCTATAAAAATGTACTTTGAACCCAGAGACACGGGGTAAAAGTAAACAGATAGAAAAAAGTACCCCAGGTAAGCAGACCGCCGCAGGAGACTAGAGCGGCTGCGTCAGTCCCAGGTAACTTCAACTTCAAAGGGTGACTGTTGAGAGAGAAGAGATATTTCCTACCCAGGAAAAGGACGAACTGTTTGGAAGTCGCCCAAGTTTTAAATGTAGATGCACCTCATAGAAGCTCAAATGCACAAGCAAAGATGACAGAATCCACAGTCAGCTCCACAGTCAAAGCCACCCATTCAACTCCACCGCGTCAGTGACCGATAGAAGAACCAGGCAAAAATCAGTGAACAGGAGATTTGACCACGATTGCCCACCCTGACCCATGCATTGAAACTTAATAGAAACTATTTTAAAATACTGCCAGATACACATCCTTTTTAAGGGTACATTGGACATTCACTGGGATAAACCAACGATTTTATACCCAAAAAATGAATAACAATCTTGATGGAATTGAAATGTCCCTCAAAGAATAATAATCGACCAAAACTGACATGAGAAGAGGTGGAAGACCCGAAGATATCTACGTCCGTTTAAAAAAAAAAATCACATTCATCATCAAACATCCACGTGAGTTTCTTATAAGTAATTTTAACAAGTTGACCCCAACTTGGTGGCTTAAAACAACACGGATTTACTTTAGCGTGGCCTAGTGGCCACGAGGTTCCCATCGGGGTCAGTAGGGCCGGGTTTCTCTGGAACCTTCTGTCGATGCCCTGAGCAACTCCCCCCCCCGCCCCGGCTGGCCTCTGGCTCCGTCTAGCCCTCTCCTCCTCCTGCTGACAGGGATCCCTGCCTCTCGTCCACTCCCACTGAGCTGGCCTGGTTGGTCCAGGACACCCCCATCTCAAGGTCCTTAACTGAACACATCTGCAAAGTCCCTTGTGCCACCTAAGGCCACCTCACCGTGAACTGTAGGGACTAGAATGTGACATCTGGGAGGATCATTAGTCCCCGCTGTGGTGATCTGTCACTTTTCTAAATGCTCAGTGAGGCTGTGGGTCAAGAATCCTGACGGGAACGGGACGGGGACACTCATCCCGACCCCACGCTCCCTGGTGGCTGGCGACCCCTGTGCCCTCATGCCCTGGCAGCTGGAGTGGGCTCCTGGCTGAGACCTCGCCGGGGCTGCGGTGGGCGCCGCGGGCAGGCTCCCCCTGTGGCCTGGGCTCCGTCTGCGGTGAGCGCGGAGGAGGCGGTTCAGGCAGAGAACCAGGGGGAAGCTGGGCCCCGCCCGCAGTCCAGCCCCAAGCTCCGCAGCGTCTCCTCTCCCGCGTCCTAAGAGGTCCCGGGAGGAGAAAGTCCTGGGAGGAGCCGGCAGCCCCCGCTCTTCGTGGGGGTGGGAGAGCGCACGGGACCAGCTGCCCAGCCGCGGGCGGACTTGGAAGATGCGACCTCCAGGGCGGGCAGCGCTGGCGCCCAGCAGTGCCGCTCGTTGACAGGCACTCGCCGTGCCCCGGGGTGGTGCTGTCCGGGCAGCCCCGGGAGACGGTGCCCCCTCCAGGGCCAGCGTGAGAGCCTCCGGGCTTCTGCTCCCCTCCTCTGGGCTGTTCGGTCCTGGGGCTCTGCTGCCGGGAGGGGACGGGGCAGGTCTGGTTTATGTCTGGATCTGAGGACTATCCTGTGCCCGTGCCAGCACCTGGCCCAGAAACCCAGATCTACATCAGTCCAGTGACCAGCCACAGGAGAGCGGGGGCCAAGGAAAGGGAGGAGACAGGTTCCTCAAGGTTTTGAGGGGAAATATTTCTATATCTCTTAAAAGGGTACCTTTGAAAGTGACAGCCCCCGAGGCCCCAGTGCTCAGCTCTTCCCTCTGGACACTCTGTGTGGAGGTGAATCTGGTGAGCTACAGTCACCTTGTCCCCAGACTAAGACTGAAAACACAGGTGGGGCAGGGCAGAGCCAAGACGCCTCTTGAGTACCCTGGATCACACTGATCCTGATGTCCACCTGGCCCAAGACTGCCAGTGACATCAGCCAGTGCATTTCTTGATTGTTTAAGTCCATTCAAAACAGGCTTTTTTTTTTTGGAATTTGGAGCTTACTGCATGTAGTATTTTCCTGTTGAAATCAAGGCTTGGAAAGGGAGCAGAAGGCTTTCAGACTCTCGAGGACATAAGGCTGCAGAGATCTTGCTAAAGTTCAGAAGCTGAGTCAGTAGCCCCAGGGTGGGGTGCTGGGCTCCTGAGTGTCTAACGAGCACCTATAATGGGGATGCCACCCGCCTGAGGGCCACACCTTGAGTGTGGAGGGTCCCAGGTGTGCCCAAGGCCACACGGCTGTGTGACAGAGCTGGGTTGCGCACAGGTCCGCCTGCCTCACAAGCCCATTTTCTCTCTACCACACCCTTCGCCAGTCACATGTTAGAATGGGGGATCCAAGCTGCGGGGCTGGGCTCCTGTCTGCCTGGAATGTGACCTGGGACCTGTTTCCTGGTATCAGAGGAGCCCAGTGTACTGCTCCAGATGCAGGCTGGTCACCAGGACAGAACCTGTGGCTGGGGTGAGCCGGGCTCCTCTGCTCAGTAGATCAAGGGTCCAGAGAGGAGCCAGTGAACTCCTGCAGAGAACACGCAGGGGCACAATTCCCCTGTAAGTCATGTCCCCAGGAGCCAAACTCCATGTTGCAGGTAAGCAGACACTTCACCCAGGTGCAGACTGTCGCGCCAGGTGGGACCAAGTTGTTTACAGATACGTGCATGTGCGTGTGCATGTGCGTGTGCATGCATGTGTGTGCGTGTGTGTGCGTGCGTGCACACATGTATACACACATCCGTACATACCCACATATGTGCACTTTTGCAAGTGTGCACGTGTGTGTCATGAGCATGCCTGTGTCTGCACGCGTGAGCAGGTGCACCTGCCTATGTGATTTTGTGCGTGTGCACAGGTGTGCCCGTGAGCGCGGCCTCTGAGGGCTGTTGGGAAGGTGGAGGGGAGCTGGAGCCCCCCTCCTGGCTAGAAGCCCCAGGAGGCAGCATCACACTGATGCCTGGAGTTGACGGCCCCAGGTCACCTGAACTGCGCATCTGACTGTGATTCCAGAGCACACAGGCAGGACCCCAACGCACACGCACCGACGGGTCCTGTGTTGGTCCAGTGCTCTGGCTGCGATCCCCCGCATGCGGTCAAACACCAGAGCAGAGCTCGCCAGGCAGGTGTTTCAGATGAGATGTGCATTCGCAGGGCAGACTGGGGGGAGGTGGGCCTAGTCCAATCAGCTGCCGGCCTCGGGAGGGAGCCTCGGTGCCCGAGGACGCCTCACCTAGCGCCCGCCTGGGCTCCAGCCTGCCCTGCAGACGTGGAGCCTGCAGCCTCCACAGCCCCCAGCCAAGTCCACAGGGGAACCTGTGCCCGCGCTTGCTGGCGCCATCTGTGTACCCTGCCCCTCAGCGAAGCCTGACCCGTGCAGGACTCGTGAGCATCTCTCAGGGCTGCTGACTGTCACCTTTTCAGGGCCACCTCTGGAGCTGGCTCCCAGGTCCCTGGCCGGCCGGGGAAGAGGACTCAGTGGGCTCAGGGGCCAGCGATCCAGCACAGCCTTGACCCAGGCCAACCCAAGAGGCTGTTTGTGGAGGCCGTTTGCAGAGGCCGGTGGGCGGGGGGAAGCCAGGTGGGGACAGGAAGGCCCCAAAGACGTGTGGAGCCTGAGGTTTGGCGTGGGCTCCCGTGGGCGTCCGTGATGGCCTCACTGTGAGCCGCGGGCTGCTGGGAGAAGGGCCGTCCCGAGGCCCTGGTGGCTGGGAGGCAGGTTAACGTGGAGGAATCCTGGTGTGCACTTCTGTCCCTGCGTTGGTGGCCGTGTCACCCGGGGCCACGTTGGGACTCAGGTGGCCTAACCCGGTGGCTCTGTCCCACCGTCCTGTGCGTCCCCGCAGCGCGGGCCCTTCTGCCGGGCTGCGCCTTCCTAGCCCGGCGGCCGTCCTCGGGGTTGGAACGGGCGGCTGAGCCGTGGCCTCGCTCCGGCTGCCCTGGAAGGTCGGTGCCCTTCCTGCCTTCCTTTGCCCAGTGGCTCTGTGGCCCAGTCCCCCGCAGGGCTCCGGGCTCCCCCCCACTGGCCTGGTTGAGGACACCGTCACCCTTCTCCCCCAGTGCTCTGGGGACCCCCCATGAGCAGGTTCTGGCCTGGACAACCGTCCTTTGGAGAGATGGCCCCTCCCGAGAGGCACCCGAGTCCTCCCAGAAGCGGGGCACGAGGTCGGCACCTGGCCATG